TGATTAAAAATTTTTATAACTTGTTAATTATAAAGTTTAAGTTAATTAATCAATAATAAGAAGAGCATACCAATAAGAAAACGAGTTTAAGAAATAATAAAAACTAAACGAGTTACTATCAAGTTTGCAAGTCTACTCAAAATTTACTCATTTATTAAGCGTGTTAACCTGTACTCTAAATTTTCGGATTAGATCTGAGTCGAATTGTCAGATCAAATCATTCATTGACACCCCTACTCATATGTTATTTTGTTAGTGTTCCTCCTAGTATCAAGCATCAGCTAATTAGGCGTTTTCAGAAAATAGGGACCAAGCAATTTATCCAACATGAATGATTTTTTTATTAACTAATCTTCACTTTTTTTACTTAAATTTTGTATTTTTAGAGGAGCTTTGTTTGTGTTCATTAGGGATGTCAATTTTTGCCACGATTCGAAAACTCTTCCAAAAAAATTCGATTTCGGGTCAACTCACTTAACAAAAAGGTTGGTTCAGATTCTAATTCATGATCAGTTTAAAAAATTAGGTTGTTTATAGGTCAACCCACTAACCCGAAATGACCCGTGTGCAACCCTACGAGTCTTGCGGTCTTACTTGCACCTCATCACTCTCACGGCTCGCCTACGGCTTGCCTCGGTCTTGGCCCCCCTGTGCTTGTGCTAGTAGCTTCGCACCTCCACTCGCACCTGCCCCCACTAGCCTGTTCGTTGCCTCACCCTCACCCGCTCGCGGTCACAACCACGCTTGCCCTCGCACCCTGCAGCTCGCGCTTGCCCGGGTCAGCATGTCAGGTTGGGTCGACCTATGTTTGGGTCAAGTCAGATCCGGGTTCGAATTTCTGAACCATTTGTGTAATCCAATTGGGTTTGGGTTGAATCAATTGGGGGCAAGTCAGTTTTGAGGTGGACGAGAATCCGATCCAAAAACTTATTTTGACACCCCTAATATTCAGATTTAAGGAGTTGTGGATTACTTTTAGGGATAATGAATCCAAAATAATACATATATCATTTGTTAGAATCTTGCCCGAGCATCATAAGTTTATAAGGTTCCTTCATACATTTATCTGCTTTATTTTCTTGCAAATCCTTGCGTTTTGCATCCTCGATGTCTATCTATATGCATATTATCAATAATGAGACAGATGATACCCTCTAAAATTGTATAGCAACCTCAGAGCTCCATTTTGAAAGAATATTTTCTTTTTTTATTTCTTTTTTTATATTTAAAATTAGAAATAGATGAAAAAATTCCTGTTCTTCTTTCTAATTTTTAGATATAAAAAACAGATATCACAAATTCAAAATGGTGCAAAGGAATAATGACCACTCAAATAAGTTGAGATTAATGATGTTAAAATTATTTCAAAAGGTGATATTAGAATTTGATGAGAACATCATTATAATCTTTTCAAATCATTTTTGTTTCTTTGTTGAAATAATTTTTTTTTTTTTCATTAAAAAAAAGTCGGCCACAACTTTTCAACATTTGCATTAGAAAAACCTAAAGTATTTTAAGATTATAGTTTTATAAAATATTAATATTTAAATATATTGTAATAATTTATTAAGAAGAAAAAAGAAAATAAAAAGTATGAAAATTTAAAAAAAGAAAAAGAATTTTTTATGACTTTTGCACCATGGATTGCATGTGGATAGGATGTTTGCCAATGATGTAATATGAAAATCAATAGCCTATATTTTTTTTTTCTTACTTTTAAAGAAAGATGCGAAATAAAAAGAAGAAAAAAATATGTAGATGAATTTCATAAATAAACCTTTCTGAGTGATAGAACAGGAGTCTGCAAAATCCTTCATCATGAATCAACACTTAGCCATCTCCAATCAAACTCCATACCACCGTATGTTGTCCGTCATTTGCTCCATTCAAACTCCAAATCACACGTCAAATTCAGGTGGATGAACAGCGCGACGCCATATTAGCGTCGGACTGTTCACATACGCCCAAAAAATTAGCAGCGGGATTTGCCGAAGAAGCGCGCGAAAGAGGAGAAAAGTGGGCCAAAGATGGTTACATTCGCAAGAAGCGTGCGAAGAAGAAAAAATATCATTCAATTGGAGAAGAATGATTGAATTTTGGAGTGGAAAATGGATTTTTCGGTTGGAGATGCCATTAGGCTTCGTTTGAGATGGCTTTCTTTCTACTTTAAAAAGCAATAAAAAAATCATCTCAAACAAAATCTTAATGCTAAATCTCCTTTTCATGAACAATAAATCTATAGTCATAAATTAGGAATTCCATCTCCTAATTAAATCATAAAAATTTCATTCCAAAAATAACATATTCTCATATAAGATACTCACTATAAGGATAAGAGGCAGAGACCAAAAGCAAGCCTAGCATTACATACATGTCTACTTTCAAATTCAAACCTACAGCCATTCAGATCTACCACCATTCTTACCATCAAATTCAATAATAAAAAGCCAGAGAAAACCTATTACATCAAAAAATGACCAACATATATAGACCTAAAATACAATATTACTCAATTTCTTATCCTCTATTCTCATACAAGCAATCTGAGACTAGTAAACTAACTTGAAAATACTTCCACTTCAGTTAAGATCAATGACAAGGACTAACCAGAATGCCCGATTGAATTGTTAGCCCACAAACTAAGGGGTTTGGTAGCATGATTTACGCTGGATTTGAAGGAAATTCAGCCAAACGGCCTAAAATGCAAAACCAAATCTCGCGGTAAATGAAAGCCACGGTTGACGGAAAATTCCGCCTTTTCGTGGAAAATACCGGATTTGCGAAATCCTCTTGTTTGGCAGATTTAAACAAAAGCTGCATTGTTCACCTCATCTCCTCACCCGCCATTTCAGAATAGCCAAACAGTCATATAAGCTCTCCAACTTCGCTTATAGTGATACCACCCACAAGACCATATTAATCAATCATAGTTAAACCTTCATGATAATTTTATATGAATATCTCCTCTACTAAATTCTGTTTTGCAAAATGATACTTCGCATTGATATTCTATCTTTGCGCAGAGCTGCGCAGTCTGAATGCAATAATCCGAAGTTGTCATCCAATCTAATCCCAACAGACTGACTTAAACTTTGTTTTGGACAAGTTTTTTATTGCTCCTTAAAACAGCTTTTTAGTACAAAAATTAAACCGGTTCAAATAAACTAATTTCTCAAGGATTAACCAGAAAACATGGAAGGAAATCTTTTTTTGTATGCCTAGTGAGTTAACTGTCTATTTTGATGCTTGATACTTGGTAGAGAGAGTAAGGCTTTATTTGGGACGACTTTCTTGCTGTTTTTTAAAGCAATTTTTTTTTACAAAAAAATTAATTTTGTACTAAAAAGCTATTTTAAGAAACAACAAGAAAGCCATCCCAAACGAAGCCTAAATGTAAATTGTTAAAGCAGTATCCCTAAATATAGTGCATCAATAGTTATTATTATTATTATTTTGCAGGTAGTGACACTTCCAATTCTTATTCGCTTATGTTGCATGGTGCTCTGCATTTATTTTTTATCAAAATGTCGAAAATAAGGAGGAAGCATTTGGAAAATATAAGTAACTCAGCAATAGACTTAAAAACAATGATGATGTGAAGTTTACCTTTTTAATCCAATAGTATTGTCCAACTGACTTTTCAAGGTTTTGTTATATATATATATGACTTTGATGAATGTCGTTTTTCACCGAATCATGTCAGGTCATATATTTTATGTTGGTGATGAAACATATGAGGTTCCATAGACGGGTGAATAGCAAACGTTATGGTCCACTTCAAGGGTTTAGGGTATAAATGAATAAATTGCAAGCTATAGATGTGTAAAATGTGGATCTTTAGGGTCATGGTAAGGGAAAATTATTAGGTCTGGTCATCGGACATGTTCGGAGCCCAATGAAAAAGCGCCACATCACCTCCTACTCGGTACTGAGCAGTACCAAGCAATACCGAGCTCAGTACTGCTTAGTAGCAAGCGCAATACTGTTTGGTACTCAGCACTTCACAGTGCCGAGCTCAGTACTGCTCGGTACAGTGAATACCGAACGTAAGCTGTGTCCGGTGTCCAAACCCAATAATCTCTCCTTGGTCAGATACATGTTGACCTCAATTCAGTTTTCAATTCAAAATGATAACTGGAACGATTGGATCCACAATCTGTGTTATGATCTCATTATACTACTAACTAGGCCAATTTTTTGAAGAATTACATAAAGGTACAATCCAGAACTGGGATGATTGTCGTTCAGGGCTCAAAAAGTTGATTCCATCCAGGTGTTAAAGTGCTATATAATACATTTCAACAAACTATTCTGATGCAGTTGGGGTTAAAATTGTTCACAAGATCAGTAAGATCTCAAATTCCAAGATCCAATTGTTTTTTTTTTTTTTCTCTTTCTCTCTCTTTTATCTAGAAATGTCTCAAGTTTGATTCATCAGCGCAAAATCAAATGAATTATCAGTGCAGCCCAGCATTAGTACCACTTAAGTTCAAAGGATCCTTACCCCCTAAAAAGATCTAAACTCTCTTAACTTGAACTCAAAATTGGGTTTAAGATGAGTAAATTCACTGGCTTTGATTTTTAGTTAGACATGCTGCACATTGATTTTGGCAACATGACATTGTTATAAAAGTTGCAGAATTAATACAGACAGCTAAATTATTTGTTTGCAGATAATAACTACAAACTCTTCAAGTTTTCTATTGTTTTATCGGCCAATACAAAGAGGAAAACAAAACACCAACGAGGCAGTTTTCTTTAAGCTAGATTGGTTAAGGAACCAACAAAATCTTCAAAAGTCGTAAAATTGGATTGATCACAGAAGAACACAAAAGCCGGATATCATTCAATTAAGTTTCTCCAAAAGATAAATGAAGTGTGAAGTCATTTTTACAAGCAGAAGAAGAAATTTGACTGTGGTGCTCAACTTTCTAATTATACATATATCGTATTCAAATGCAAATCACCTTTCTAGATTTCTGTAACCAATTAATAGGTGACAGCCAGTATTTCTAACACGGAAAATCGAAGGAAACCAAAAAAAAATTATAAACCCTTAAGACATGCACGAAGTTAAGAAAAAAACAGCTAGCCTTCATCGCCTCAGAACATAGCAACATCTCTACGTAGCCTGCAGAGTTTCAAATTCATACCTAGCCTGAGCTTCTTCTTCTTCCCCGACGATGATTGCATCACTCGTATCGTTGGACGGCAACTCATGTCGACACAAGGGACAAGTATTCCTAATTGTTAGCCAAGGCACAATGCAATACTCATGGTAATAGTGCAAGCATGGTAACCTCTTCACTTCCTCCGAAAGAGAAATCTCATCTTTGCAGACTGCACAATTGGTGTTCTTCTTAGCAACATCTTCTGGCGTTAACAGGACAGAAGGAAGGTTTTCAACAACGGATTTCGCCGCCGGACGTCCGCTCTTCATCCATTCCGCCTGACCTCCAAATTGGTCGAACAATACCTCGTAATCGGAAGCGTAGGCAAAACCCTCTTGTTCCTCGACAAAGACAGATTCGGCATCGTTCCTGTTCATGGAGAGAAGAACCTCCCACTCCACGTTCCTGTCCGAATCTTCTCCTTCCTCAGCATTAGGGTTAGGGTTCTCCACGTCGAACCGGTCCGATACATCCTCCCACTCAAACTCCTCGACTGGATCATTCATTTCCTCTTCGACGTGGAGGCATTCCCAGCAAAAGGGAAGATCTGCTTCATATCCGAAAGACGAGTCACCGATAGCAACGATCTGCTCGTCGGTGTCTGCCTCGGAACCGAATTCGACGATTCGGATACCCTCATGACCGAGAGGCTGTGCGCGTGAGAACTCGTTGGATCCCGATGCGGAGCTTCGCCTGCCGACAAAGAAATCATCCGCTCCCCAGTCGGGAATAGCATCGGCGGTATCTGAAGGGGTTAAGCTTTCCTGGCCGTCGTCTTCATGGTTGAGCTCCTCGAAGGGGAGGAAGAAGTGCTCGGAATGCGCCATTGATGGATCTGAGAAAATAGGGGAGAGCGATGGCGAAGGGATTGCGGGATTGCATAAACTCTTATCGATGGAAAAAGTAGAGGAATTGGACTTGGAGTAACGGAGTTTAATGCCTCTTCTGTTTTTTTTTTTTTTTTTAAGATATAAGAGATGAAATAATGCTTCGCTGTTTTAATTAGCGATTTAGCGTACGCTGTGGTAAATCCGGAAGTCATTGTTAATTCTATGATTCTTAATTTATTCAAGGGTATGGTTGATGACTTTTCTGTTGGTACGACGTAATTCTCACCGATATTTATTATTATTATCCAATTTAAAAAAAAAACTAAAATTTTTAATAAATTTTATAATTGTGGAATTTTGAAGAAAAATTATCCAACTTCAGAAAAAAGTTGAATGATAAGTTAGAATTGTTAATATAATTAGTTAGATTTTAAATAGTTTTATACCTATTGATGAGAAACGTTGGGCGGATTCCCCTTGAGCTCGGGGTAATTTCTCTCCTAAAAAAATAAATTTTTTTATTATATAATTGTTTAGGTAATTTGGCTATTTTCATTTATTTTTTAGTCTGTGTTATAAGGGTTTTTAGGAAATCATCCTTCCTAAAAATTTTAAAATACTATAGTCTTTAGGCAATTGCCTCCTAGCATAATTAAACACATTGTGTAATGGTGTTATTGTTAGGAAATGATGAACCAAATACAAAGAGAAATATTAAAGATTGTTGCGTCCTGGAATATTCGCGGCGGTAGAGAAATATATGGTTTAACGTCTTAGCATTGTACGAAGATCCAGCACACAAGCAAATAAGAGAGGGGGTGAAACATTCATAAGGGACACCAGTTTTT